GAAACCTCACCCCCAACGCGGCCCAAAGCCAACCCAAGGCTGGTTTCCGCGCTGCCTAATTCTAGTCCACACGTCTGACCACTACAGGGGGCTCCCCATTTCAGAGGGTGGCTCCCCATCCGGAGGGTGGCGGCAGCTCCTGCTCACTGCAGTCTCCAGGGGGCGGCAGCCTGCCTCTGGGACCTGGTGCTGCCAGCGCCCTGCCAGGTGCACCCAGGGGAGCTGCGAGCCAAACGGGGCTCCCAAGGCAGGGGCTCCACACTCAGAAACCAGGCCTCCCGACGCCCGGCGCCATACCTGTGTTGGCCCTGACAGAGGCCGGGTAGCTCACTGCCCGGCCCCGCTCCGCCGTGACGGTCACCACGTACTCCACGCCTGGCATCAGGTCAGTCAGCAGTGTCCCGTCTGCCTCGGCGGGCACTTCCAGCCGCACCCTCTGGTTGCCAGCACTGACGTAGGACACCACGAATCGGTCCACCTCGGCCTGGGGGCGCAGCCAGCCGAGCTCCAGTGTGGTTGGCGTCACGGCCACCACCCGGAGGTCCTGGGGGCCATCGATCACTAGCCGGGTGAGAGAGAGGGGGATCAGGCGGGGTCTGCTTCTTCAGTCCCCAGCTTTCCTTCTAAGAGCGTTGTCCCACCCCAGCCCGCCCCGAACCCATCCAAACCCTCCCAGAGGGCAGAGTCCTGGCACCCCCCTCATCTCCACATCTCCGCTCAGGACCCGCCCACAGCCCCTGCTCTCACTGGTGGTGATGGTCTTGGAGGCAGGAGGGCCCCAGTTGGTCCCTCGAAGGGCGCGGACAGTGACCTGGTACTCCTGCCCGGGGGCCAGTCCTCTCTGGTCATAGGCGGAGGCAGAGCTGGGCACCCGCGCAGTGAACGGCGGGCTCGCGCCCTCTGGCTGCAGGAGGGAGAACACCGGGTGGGTCAGGGCTGGCACTCTGCCCTGCCACTCAATCCCCCTTCTCCCGACTCCAGCTCCAAGCGGTGTCAGCTGGGCCTGTGCAGAACTGGGCCCTGACAGCAGGGAGCCCGGCCAGTGACAGCAACACGCCTGGGACACCTTCTCCAGGCATCTCCTGTCCAAGGCCCTGGATGTGCATGAGCTCACGGGGCCCCGGGCAGTGGCCTCAGAGGCCTGTCCATCCGCTGTCTGCCAGATGCCACCGCACAGCCCTGCGGCCCTGGCTTCCTGGCGGACGGGCTTCTCAGCTCACTCTGGTCGGGACAGATGAAGGTGACAGGGATGCCCCTTCAGGCCTCACTTCCTCCTTAACCATCTGCCCAGCCTGAGCCTCCCGCAGACCCTGCCCCGCTGTGCAATGTGGGCGTGACCCCTGTCCTTCAGGCACTTCTCTTGTCTCCTCACAAACAAGGCCCATCGGCTCAGAGTTCCACAAACGTCCCCCGGTTTCGTACCTGCGCCGTGCTGGGCAGGAGACACAAAAACGGAAGGTGCGGCCCCTGTCCTCAGACAGCTCATGCTCTGGAGGCGAAATGCATGGCCATGGGTTCCGTTTTACTGGAGCCTAAACCAAACCTCTACGTGTGGTCCCTGCCGGGGAGGAACAGCCCTCCTCCAAGTGTACATCTGAGTCTCTCAGGATCCACGGGCCCACAGGAAAGCTGCTGGCCCCTGTGCAGACAGGGGTCCTGGAGTGCCAGCCGCAGGGGACAAGGAACTGGACGTCTGTGAGCAGCCCAACCGCCCCACATCTCCCCCCGGGCCGTCCAGCTTGGACCGCCCAGGAGGACGCTCTGTTCCGCTGAGCTATGTTGGCTGTAATGGGGACACCTCCAGTCAGCCAAGTCGGATTGGAAATTTCAAAAGGTTCTCCCCTAAACCAACAGAATGGTGGGGAACCGACACAGGAAACAGTGAAGTCACACACTCCGCGAGAGGCCACGCAGAGATTTCTAGGTTGAGGGTGAATAAAGCTTTGTCAGTTTTCTTGGCTGAAAAGGTGTCCTGGTCACATAGGACCCAAACCCTCTCCTGCTCACCCCGCCCTAGGATACCCCACCCAGGAGCCCTGGGGTTGACCTCAACTAAAGGCCTATGAAATCCTCATCCCTGACTTAACTCTGTCACTCTTTATTCCCCCAACCCGCCACACACACACACACACACACACACACTCACACTTACACACCCTCACTCACACACACATGCACACTCATACACACACACTCACATACTTTCACACACATATTCACACCCATATACACACACTCCCACTCATCCACTCACACACACCTTGGCTGCTCCCTAACGATGTCTGTAGTGGCTTGTCCTTTCAGCGAGACAGGCCCATCCCAACATCTTCTCCCTTCAAATCATCTACACCCAGGGTCCTCAGATTTTTTAAACAGGGGGCCAGTTCACTGTCCCTCAGACCGTTGGAGGGCCGGACTATAGTTTAAAAAAAAAAACGATGAACAAATTCCTATGCACACTGCACATATCTTATTTGGAAGTAAAAAAACAAAACGGGAACAAATACAATATTTGTATTTGCATGTGGCCCGCGGGCCTTAGTTTGAGGACCCCTGATCTACACGAACCTTTTTACACCTTAGTCCCCCCTGAGATCCACTTCAGAGCAGTTCCCTGACGGTCCCACCATCAGCACATCGGGCCGTCTGAGGCAGGCTCTCCAGCCAGATGCTGGTAGGTGGCGCTGCCCGTTTGTGAAAGCGTGGCTGCTTCACTGATTGTCCTTGGCAAGGTTCTAACCCTATTCTTGAAATCAACCTGTAGCCCCAGGTGGGGGACTCCACCTTGGCTGGTTCTTGAAGCTTACATCCCCTTTATCCCCCTCTTCAGACCAAACTCAAATACAAACTTTTCTGAGGCTGCAAGGTCTTGTGTCCCGATGACAACTGACGTAGCCCTGGTCCCCAGGGCGCAGAATACACCCAGACAAGGACTACATGGACCTCTTCCTGCTCCGGTCACCGCCCTCAGCTTCCTCATGCTTTCTCTCACAATCATAGAGGAGCCAGCATTTTGCAAAATAGCAACATTCCTTGTTAGTGGCCCTCAGGTTTGGGGTGCATCAGAACCACCTGGAGGGCTGGTTGCAACATAGGTTGTGGGGCTCCACCTGCAGAGCTGCTGAGTCAGTAGATCTGGCACCACTGTCAGATCCAACACTTGGCACATCTCACCAGCGCCCAGGTGGTGCCAATGCCGCAGATCCAGGGAACACACTTTGAGAACCACTAAGTCAGCATAACAATGCCACTATACAGAGAGAAGACCGCTCCTCTCTGGTGTTCTGAAAATCATCCCAATAGCGAGGCGTGTCCTCGGCCAGGATGAGCAGAGTGCGAGCTCCGAGAGGAAAGTGCTTCTGGGAAGGTAGAGACAGGCAGGCTTCTAGGAAGATGGCAGCGGCCAGAATATATCCTGTGCCAACAGAAATGGACAGAGAGCACTGGCCAAGGCGGGAGGCGTGACTCCAGGGGCCAGCCACAGAGGGTGCAGACAGTATAGTGTGCAGGCCGGCAGCACAGGCTACGGGGAGCCCGACAGGAGCACTTGGGACCAAGTTTACAGGCGCGTTCCTCACACCCGGGCTCAGAGAGAACGGGAATGTGACAGGGGACCGAACCCAGAGCAGAGCACATGAGCTGACAGCGTGGCCACGCCGCACAGCCAGCTCAGCGCCACCCAGCCCCGTGGTGAGGGAGGAAGCCAAGGGCTTCGCTGGGAAGCCCCGCTTCTTGAGGACACCCGGGCGTGGGCCGTATCTCCGCGACTGGGGGACTTGCTGTCCTGCACACTCCTTCCATCTCAAGTGCTTATTTTAATTCCACTTTCCCTCAAGTTTCTTTGGAAAGTTCCTTTTAAAAGTCCCACCCTCTCAAGATGAGAACTATGTAAATAATATGCACAGAGAAGAGAGTGGGAGAAACACTTAAAAATGTTAACAGTGTTATTTTAGTGCGAAGCAGCCAGGAATTATTTGTGTTTTCTTCTAGTTGCCAAATTCTTGTCTTGTGATTAAATTATTTTTATACCAAGAAAAAATTGTCTAAAACAGAAGAAAAAAACTCAAGCTATCCTGGTTCTACAGCAAAGGGCTCCTATCTCCGCCATTCTCGGGGGTGAGGAGGGACAGAACACACAGGGCTGGCCGGGGGGGTAAAAAGTGCCGGGCCAGTTGGGGTGGGATGGCAGCGGCACCTCGGCGCTGCCCCTCTGTCCCCGAACCTTCCCTGGGAGTTATTTATGCTTCCGGAGTCCTGGCTGGGCAGAGATGAGGGTGACATGGCCTACGCACCGCGGCATTTGTGGGGCGGTGCAGGAAAACACGCGTTGGACAGTAGAAATGTCAGATGATTTGGGCTGGGAGACAAAACACATCATGAAAGGGCACGAAGGCATGGAGGGAGGTGCTGATACGAGAGGCCGAAGGCGTTGTCCTTAGGGTGCCCCCACATACTTTAAGAGCGAGTTGGAAGGAGACAGAGAAAGGCTGCTTTGCAAGGCACTGAGGCGGGAACCACTTCACAGACTCCAAGTCATGCCACAGCCTGGGCAGCCTGGCCCAAACCGAAAAAGATAACATTGAACAAGCCGACTGCCAAGCCCTATATTTAGGCTAAAAAAGTGAATACAGTTCAATGCTGTCTTTTTTTCTTTCTCCTTTTCTTCTTTCTTTTTTCCTTATTTATCTACTAGAGCAGTGATGGCGAACCTATGACACGCGTGTCAGAGGTGACACACGAACTCATTTTTTTGGTTGATTTTTCTTTGTCCCCAGGAGCCCTGCGGGGGGATGTCCGACTGATGGCCAACAGTCAGACATCCTTCGCGCTGCCCGCAGGCTGCTCCCGCCACCACCCCTGTGCATTGACCACCAGGGGGCAGCTCCTGCGCTGAACGCCTGCCTCCTGGTGGTCAGTGCGCATCCTAGCGATGGGTCATTCCCTGTTTGGTCAATTTGCATATTAGCTTTTTATTATATAGGATGTTTTCTAAAGTTCCTACACTGTCTATATATGTTTTATAACAAAAAGTTATTTGAAAAAACAAATATGATCAAAACAGCTGACAGTCTGACCACAAGTTAACACATGTCAACTCAGAAAAATACCTGGGTCGCCAGAGTTAGCCAGTGAGCGACTGGGCTCTTCTCTGCTCTCATGTTTCAGAAACAAATGCACAAAGCAAGAGACACTAGAAGAGGGCACTCTGGGAGTGCAGCGTTCAAGACCAGAGTCTAGGCGCCAGCGGGATTTGCCGGGGAGAATGAAGGGCGACGTGATGCCCGCGTCTCCAGACCCCGAAAGCCTGTGGCGCAGGGCGCAGGGCAGGCGGAGTAGGTCCCTGGCTGCTGGTGAGGCCACCGCTGGGCGTGGAAGTGGTGCCCCACGCAGCCGGGACGGCCTCAGAGAACTGAGCTCCGTGGCCAGAAGTGTCCCAGCAGCAGTGGGCCGGCGCCGGCGGAGGTGCTGGAAGGCTCTGCGCCCATGTGGGCAGG